ATGATGCAATTTTTTTTGGAGAACATTTACATTATGTCAGGTGTTTAAGTTTGGTTGGAGATTGTTGAAATAAGTGTGAAATGTAAAGGATTTTTAACTTCTCCTAAGGCAAATTATTGAGTCGTAGTTATTGTTATTGTTATGAATGGTATTGGTCCAAATGGAGCGAAATGGATATAAACGATTCAATAAAGCTGACTCCGACTAGTTTGGGTGAATGTAGGCTTGTTAACAGAGGCGTATCCAGGATTTCGGGATGATTGATGCATTATTGTGAAAAGGTGGATCTAATTGGTTTGACATTTAGGTTCTTATCATTGAAAATAATTAATATTTTAAAATTATAGGTCCAAAAGTGAAATGCTTAATAAATTAAAACACCACAAGTGCTATCAATAACCACTTAGAGATGTGTTATCTAATTTTAGAAAGAAAAATAAAACAAGATAGATATAAAATTTAAATTTCTAACTTCACTTAGAGGTGCACCCAATCATTGTCGCATTATATGATACTTCGAGTGTAAGTTCACACATCTATATTTAACAAAAAATTAAAAATATAATACTATTATACATAATTTCGGGACGGGAGCATGGGTTCATGTGAACCAGTGACCCCCTCCTGCATATGCCTTTGGGCTTGCAAATGCTACTACTGCAATAGAACATTCACTTTTTGGCTTTTTCCCAGCAATGGCTCCAACTCGAGATTTTGATTCATAGAACTGTCCATTGGGTCATATATCACCATTGGATATTCATTATCAAGTACCAAAAAATGTCGGATATTGTGGTACACTTGATAGGGTCAACCAAGCTGGTTTATTATGGCTGAAGGCCAATTTGAAACTCTTTTTGGTTCGACTTGAGCTTTACTTCATGGTGTTGTCATGAAGAAGTTGAATTAGTCCGTGCTACCTGGTAAGCTAGTTTGGTTTACTTGAACCCCTAATTTGATGAGGTGGTTAAAGATGAGCTAATGATGTGCAGATCTTTAGGGACTGATGAAGAATATATCTCAGTCTTATGTAGGCAAAGGAAATTCTGAAAACACATATTATATTTTTTCTTTTTTGGATATCATGGGAGAGAAACCCTCGAGAGTGGTTCAAAAGGTTTTGACTTTCTGAATCTCTTTTCCTATTTGAAACCCTGTGCCTGAAGCCATAATCTTAAGTTTATGCCATTGGACAATTTGGAGGCCAATAGAATGTAAGTGAAGCTGTATGATCAATTCAGGGACTAGTCACCTGTATAAACTTTCTTTCGAATTAAGCCAATTGGTTTTCAAATGAACTTATCATTTGGTCACTAGAGGTAGCTTTATCTTTGGACTGGTGTGCATTTGGTTCTGTAGGCTTGTCTATTTATGTGTTTGAATGTCTTCAGGCATGTGCATATCTTTAATGTGTCTATGCTGTTTCATACATCCATGTGCTTGTATATATATCATTACAATGCAGATACAGTTCACTATCCTTAATAGGAGAAACAAATTCTTATAAATGATGAGTGTTTTTTATGGTGTGGCTGTCGACACGTTTAGTTGAATTGTTTACTATGAAAGGTGAACAGTTCTCTGTATCAATTGACTGCAGATTCAATTTTTTCCATCCTTTGGTTTATTCTATCCAAAGAGAAAGGATATATTCCTTGTCAACATATTTTCTTTTGTTATTCTGCAGTGCTTATTTATGCTATAAAAATCTCTATTAGCTTACCTAGGTGCCTTTCTGCATTTTGGGCAAGGAAACTGTAAGATAGCTCTGTTATTTCTTTTAAGCCCTTTTTAATGTTCAATTCAATGGTGATATTTGCATCCCTGTTGTTTCTCACGCTCTGTGTTGGCTTTCTCCAGCCTGTTACAAAGTTTAATACATTTATGGTGGAAGATCGGCCAGGTGAGCAGTGGGTTACCTTGAGGAGAAAATTTGGCGAGGATGAACATATCAAAATCGAGGCAACAATGATTGATGGAGCAATTACTGTTCCAAAAGCAAATGATGAGAATTTAGCGGAGGATGTGCGGCTTCACATAAGTGTGCTAGTTGACATATGGAAGGGTGAAGGTAGTGAGTTCTTGGAGTTTGTCTGTTCATCCTGGCCAAATTCCTTGGAAATTCAGAAAGTTTACTTACTCAGAAGCGACAGTTCTCGAGCTCAACCTTATATGGGCCCCAATGTTAAGTATGAGACATCTTCTAACTTTATTATATTGTGTATGCATTACACTTGCACTGATCTATTTCACCCCTTTAAAGAGTAAAAATCCTCAAAATAAGAGAAAAGAGAAGGAGCTGAATTTCTTTCCCTTTTCTCATTGAAGTTCTTTTTTTATTTTCTGCGGGCAAGGCCTTAAACATGATCCCTTTCATGTTTGAGGATGGTGATCAACTATCGTAAATCAGATCATCCTGATAGCACGCTATACTCTTCTTTAGAGAATAAAATAAAAGGAGTTGCAAGTTTTCTCTGGATATTGTCAACCTATTCATTCTGACATACTGTGTATGTTCATTATTTCGTTGCAGTTTCTTATGCTTGCTCCTGACTTTTTGATACTTCTTTGTGTTTTTTCTATCAGGGATTTGAACGGTGGCTTCCGAGATGGCCTAAACGAATTCCTAAAGGCAAGAGGGGTAGATGATGAACTTTCGGCATTCCTTCATGAATTTATGATGAATAAGGATAGAATTGAAGCAATTGGATGGTTGAGAAAAATCCAGTCTTTTATTGAAAATTAGAGGCACGTCTCTGCTCTCTCAATTTCTCTGTAAAATTGATCTATTGTAACTTATGCTTAGCTTTGCTATGATTTTTTGCATGAGGTTTCTACTCTTCTTCTTACCTCCGTGTTTACCTACGCATCAATCCGAAAGCTGGTTGATTCGTAGATGTTAAACGACGACATCATAAATATTGTTTCTCAAGTCATTAGGTACTTTGCAACCTTAAGTTGATGGACTTTCTCAGAGGTGAAAAATCTACTGACTCGGTAACTCGGATGGAAACCAAATTTGATATATTTTTTGCTTCAATTTGGGAATAAGAAGAGTGGCTGCAAATTAAATGGAATCAGACTTACCAGCAAGGGTTGTGGTGGAGTGGTAAGTACTCTTTCATCCTTAACCAAGAGGTCTCGGGTTCGAGCCTCCTTGGGTACGGAGTCGCCTTTGTTATGAATAAAATGGAATCAGACTTGTATAGCCAAATTCTTCCATTGAAATAGGGATGGCAATGGGGTGGAGCGAGAGCGGGGCAGGCTTAGACATATGCGGGGTGGGGTGGGTTTAGGCATATGCGGGTATAGGCCAAATTCTTCCATTGAAGTAGGGATGACAATGGGGCGGGGCGAGAGCGGGGCAGGGTAGGCTTAGACATGTGCCGGGTGGGGCGGGTTTAGGCATATGCGGGTATGGGGCGGGGCGGGGCGGGTTAAAACTAAATTTTCTAAGTTCAAAGCGGGTGCGGGGTAGTTGTGGGTTTGAAAAAACCCAATTCATTTATCTTTTTTGAATTCTCATTTCTGTGTCTTTCTTGAGTCCTAGAAAAGAAAACTTACTAATTAATCAACATTATCCCAACATTTTTATGATTTGAGTCTAAACCTATTAATTATTTATGCCAAATATGACTTGATTAATCCAAAATCTAAAGTTGGTAGAGGTAATAAATAGAATTAAAATGGGTGATATTATTTAAGAGATTAAATGAGCAGTTAAAAGAATGTCATTAATTTTTTTTTTTTTTAAGTTTATAAAGGACCATATACATTCAGTGATTTTATTCAAGGACACTTGAATAATTTAGTAGTAGTTGAAATTTTCTACAGTTAATAACATTATACGAGGCTAATAACATAAGCATTGTAATTTGTGACTCAATATTATGTATTTTAGTTAGTTAACAAACTGAAGAGAAAAAAAATCTTACGTGGGGCGGGTCTATAATTTAAAAAATGGGTTGAATTTTTGGAAATTTTCAAAGTGGAGTGAGTAGCTCTTTCATTTGGATTTTGGAGTACTTGCTCTTCAGCTTCATTGCAAAACAATTTTCTTGCAAGAATATTAAAGGAGTAATCGGCTTGTAAGTTCATGGAGTCATAGGCTTAGGCCTTAGTGAGAAGTTAAGTTCCATTTTTAACTTAGGCTTGAAAGCATATGCGAGCATCAAAACCAAGTTAAGATACCATCTTACATGTATAAAATGGAAAGTTACAAGAGGCAAACGAGTAAAGACGGTGCTCGAAGCTCTATCAAGAGTCTACTGGCACAGCTTTTCTGTTCAGTGCTTATAGTGATTAATTATCTAGCAAAGTACAAGCAAACGGTCAGCTGTGGTAATCAAAAGTTCAATTCTGCTGATCTCATGGACTTTACCAAGCAACAGGTAGTGAATTTGTTCATATTAGTAGCACTTTTTTGATGCATCTCACTATTTACTTAGCTGTTTCAATCAAAAAATGTAGATGGACTATCTCTAGGGCAATCAATTTCCATTTTTTTCCAGGGAAGAGCACATAAATAAGAGGAGTGACGCTGATGAATATAACGTTTGTACTGGAGATAATCACAATGGGAGGCTTCAAGCTTAGAGTTCGAGCATGACTATAAAATTCTCACGAGTCAAGATAACATTCCCCAAAACCAATAGTACTTGACAGGTAAAACATTGTTTCTAAATTGGTGACAAAAGAGAGGGCACAAATATGGAAAAACACAACAGATGAGTCATATTAATAAGGAAACCATAGATTTCTAACCTAGCTATTCAATCATAATAACAAACTCAACTTTGCAACACAGATATAATAACTCACCTTTCTTTATAAAGAATGTTGATCAACTATACAACTTTTTTTTATTATTAAACTAATAAGGGGCGGCACGTGAGATCATCTTCGTCACAGGTTGCCTACAGACCCCAAAAGAAATCCTAAAGAGGGATCAAACCCATGCATACTTCTCTATATATATACAATCAATTTTTATTATGTATCTATCTATTGTCAGTACCCAGTACCCTTCCACAAGGTTCATTCTCTACTTCCTTCAGATCTGGGGATTGCCTCATGAATTTATGATTGCCGATCTTGAATGTTATCTTCTGGATTGGTTTGTGTAGAAGGGGCTTCGGATCCAGCAATTGCCTCGAGAATTTATGATTGCCGAACTTGAATGTTATCTTCTTGATTGGCTTGTCTAGAAGGGGCTTCTGATCCAGCAATTGCCTCGAGAATTTATGATGGCCGATCTTGAATGTTATCTTCTGGATTGGTTTGTGTAGAAGGGACATTGAATTACTTTTCTTCTTCCTTGTCTTTGCTGTGTTGGCTACTTTGGATGAATTCTGAAGAAAAGTATGGTTCAAGAGCATGTCCGCAGTCCAACGCGTGCTCGGATTCTTCACAAGACATTTTTCCAGAAAATTTTGAGCCTCATTTGACAACTTTGAATTCTGAAACTTTGGTTCCTCAAACTCGATTTTGTCCAACACATCATCACCATCTGCGTCTTCCCACAGCGGTGTCCCCGTAATCAGCTCATAGACAGTACAGCCAAGAGCCCAAATATCAACTTGTGAGGTATACTCAGTGTTAATCACGGATTCAGGTGCCATATACCTTTCTGTTCCCCTGATAACTCCCTGTTTTTGGTTCATGCCCTGTTCCAAGGTCACGGAAAGCCCAAAATCAGCGATCTTGGCAGTTTTATCCCTGCCCACAAGGAGAATATTGCCAGGCTTGATGTCGCAGTGAATAATTCCATTGTTGTGTATGCAACTGAGCCCTAAAAGAACATTCTTCGTGTGTTTCTTAACTTCAGACTCCGACAGTGAATTGCAGTTCTGAAGATGATCAGCAAGGCTTCCTCCTGAAGCATACTCGAGCAATAAGTTGTAAAGATTGACGTTATCTTCAAATGAGACATTAGCTCCAAAACAGTGAACAATGTAAGGTGAATGTTTGAACATTCGGAGGATTTCGACTTCTTCTTTCAACGATTGAGAAGCACTGTAGTTGCATGATTTGAGGGCGATGAGAGAGGGAAGAGTAACACCACGAAATAGTGCGTTGGAGGTAGAAGCTAACGAGACAACACCGAATCCACCTTGACCAAGAGTTGTGCCTCTCTTCCACAATAATCCCGCCATTGGAAATTAAGAATTGAATGTGCAGTATGGTTGTAGTATATTATTATAACAATACATTAGATAGTAATTTATAGATGATATGTTTCCCTTTCCTATACCTAAATGGATTCTTACAGTTTCTTAAAAGATGAAAATCCTCCAGAAAAAAGACGATCACATCTATATTTCCCTTGCCAAATTTATATTTTAATTTGGTTTAAAGGTTTGTTTCCTATTTTTTCCTTCTATACTATTCTTCTCCTGTGTTTTCCTATTCCTTCAGGATTAATTTAATTCAATTTCGTTTTTATTTTCCTAAATAAAAATTAAATTTATTCTTTATTAAAAAAACCCATGTATGGGTATGTTAGATCCTTCTAGTGAAGTTCATGTTTTTTTTAGTTCACGGGTATTTTTGATTCTTCTCACACGTGAATTATTTTTTCACTTCTTTGATTCAACGAATAATTTGAGTTTGAATATCTCCCTTAAAAAATTATTTGCTTATCATTATTTGAGGTTCTTATTCTTATTTTATTTTAGTGTGAAAATATCAGAAACAAAAAGAAAGAATTGTAAATGGAAAAAAAATTAAGACTAATTTTTTGAAATTATATTGTAAATCAAATTTGATACTACCGCTCACAACTCTCTAATTGCAGTTGCTCCTAGTAACAAATTTATTATCCATTTTCAGTCAACTTGATGAACCCAAACTTCTTAATTCCTTCATAAATAGTTTTTAATTTCTAAGAAACTTAACCAAACATGCAATAACGTTTAAAATAAACTATGATGAAATAACATATGCCAATTTTTTTAGGCAATTGAAGAGAGATTTTTTTTTTTTTTTTTAAAACAAAACATGACTTTGCTAATATTCTTATAAAAATAAAGCAATTAGCAGATACATAAGTGAAAGGAATGGCAGACTAAGTTGCTCGGACTCGGGCGTGGATGTTCGATACAGATGCGGATCTAAAGGTCGTGTGAAATTGATGATCAAGAATAAGAGATTCAACTAATATGCTGAAGAACTACAAAACTCCATTGAAGGACATATGAGAGAAAACGAAAGAGAAACTGCTTTGCTTGTATTGAATCAATTGAACTAACTATTACAACTGAGTACAATCAATTTATATAGATCTAACTAACTACACGTGGACATATCAACTAATTAGTTAACTAACTCAATACCCCCCCCCCCCCTCCCCCCCTCCCTCAAGTTGGAGGTGAGACCAACACAGCCAACTTGTCCAAAACTATTGAATGTTTGACTCCTGTAAGAGCCTTAGTAAGGATGTCAGCCAGTTGGTCATGAGTTCCAATGTGATGCAGTGATATAAGACCTTCTTGTAGCTTGGTTTGCACAAAAATGACAATCAATCTCAATGTGTTTGGTCCTTTCGTGAAACACAAAATTTCTGGCAATTTGTAGAGCTGATTGACTATCACAAAGATAGGAAAAGGTCTGCTTCTAGGAATAGTAAGCTCTTCAAATAGTCTGTCTAACCAAACCAACTCTCCAACCACCTTTCGAAGGGATCTATATTCAGCCTCAGCTGAGGAAAGAGATATAGTTTCCTATTTCTTAGATTTCCAGCTTATAGGACTGGAACCAAGCAACACAATATACCCTGTGATGGACTTTCTGGAATCAGGACAAGCATCATAATCTGAATCACAAAAATCTTGTACGTTGTAATCATCAGTAGATGTCATAAGCAATCCTAAGGTGGGATCCTTCTTGAGATACCTCAGCATGTGGTATGTTGCTTTCATATGTGGTTCTCTGCGGTCTTGCATGAACTGACTAAGGTGCTGAACTCCATAAGCAATATCTAGTCTAGTATTAGTTAAGAAATTAAGTTTCCCAACTAATTTTCTGTATGCACTGGGATCAGAAATAGACTTCCCCTCATTTGCCTTGAGCTTGACTGTCACATCTAGTGGTGAGGTGAGGCTGGAAAGTTCAGAACAATGGTACTCTTTGAGAAGATCAAGCACAAATTTCCTTTGTGAAATAAGCAATCCAGCTTCAGTGTAAAGGATCTCTAACCCCAAGAAATAATGCAGTTTCCTTAAATCTTTAATTCTAAATTGATTATGGAGAAAGCTTTTGAGACTATCAATTTCTTCAAGATCAGTACCTGTCAATAGGGTATCATCCATATACACAGCTATGAAGACAATATATGAGCATTTTTTCTATAAAATAGAGAGTAGTCATTTAAGGAATGAGTGTATCCCCTGAAACTGAGGGCATCCGACAACTTAGCATACCATTGCCTATTAGCCTGCTTTAGACCATATAATGACTTATTTAGCTTACAAACTAATCCTTTAGTCTGAATATCCAAGCCTGGTGGAATATCCATGTAAACCTCTTCATCTAACTCCCCATGGAGAAAGGCATTATTCACATCCAATTGATAAATGTTCCAGTGTTTCTTTACAGCAATGGCAATTAGAGCTCTTACAATAGTCATCTTAATAACATGTGAAAAAGTCTTTGTGTAGTCAACTCCATAATGCTGAGTATAACCCTTAACAGCCAAACTAGCCTTGTACATTTCTATGCTACCATCAGCTCTGTGTTTGATCTTATATACCCATCTCCACCTAAGAGATTTCTTTCCAAGGGGTAGAGGCATGAGATCCCAAGTATCATTATCATGTAGGGCATATAGTTCTTGTGTCATAGTTGCCTGCCATGCAGGATCTATAGTTGTTATATCATATGAAAATGGCTCACTTTCATGTGAGATACTTAATACAAGAGACTGGCTATCAGGATACAGAAGCTTAGAGGCAATATGATGGTGGTTAGAAAATGATGCATGTAGTGAATGAGGTGGTAATGTAGTTGTGGAATGAGGTATATTGCATAAGTAATCATTTAGATAGGCTGGTGTTTTGTGTATTCTGGCAGACTTTCTAACAGATGGAATGTGGTCCGGTGATGGTGGAACAAATGGTGGTGGTAACTCAGTTGAAACTATTGTGTCTGCACGATTAGGATCATATTGCATATTATCATTATCAGATTCAGGATTACACTGAATGTTATCAGAAAGAACAATTGTAGGAGTGAGATAACCAAAACTAGGAACATGACCATCTACCACAGGGGAAGATGATTGAGTCATAGAGAAATGAAAGATTGTCTCATGAAATGTAACATCCCTAGACACATAAATTTTGTTAGAAGCCAGACTTAGTACTCTATAACCTTTTGTCCCAAATGGATAACTTACAAACACATGTGGGGTTGCTCTTGGATCAAATTTGGTTCTATGGGATTTGGGAATGGTAGGATAGCATAGACACCCAAAACTTCTCATTTGAGACTATTGAGGCTCTTGGTTATACAGTAAAGAAAAATGGCATTTATTCTGAAGAACAACAGAGGGAAGTCTGTTAATGATGAAGGTTGATGTGAGTATACATTCTCCTAATACTTAATAGGTAGTTTGGATTGAAAAAGGAGTGCCCTAGCAATTTCTAGGAGATATTTGTGTTTTCTTTCTACTACACCATTTTGTTATGGTGTGTAGGGGCATGACTTTTGGTGAATAATTCCTTTTGATTGAAAGAAGAGGGTGGATTCTTGGTTTACAAATTCTAGTCCATTATCTGTCCTTATGGTTTTTATGGTGGTTTTGAATTGAGTCTCAACCATATTGACAAATGATTTGATAATGTGCAATGCATTACTCTTGCAGCTTAACAAGTGAGTCCAAGTGGATATGCTAAAGTCATTCACTAAGGTGATAAAATATCTAAAATTATCATAGGTTGCCACATGATATGGTCCCCATAAGTCCACATGGAGTAGCTAAAAAATCTTGATAGGTGGGAAATGGCAATCTATTTTGCCTTGCCATGGGACATATAGTACAGGTAAATGGTTGCTTAGGTGAGAACTTCACAGGAATGGATGGTAATTCTTCATTTTTGCAAAAGGAACATGTCCAAGTCTGTGGTGCCATAAAAGGTCTATATTAATATTAACTTTATGAGACAGACTAGAAGAATGGGATAGACTAGGTATTGAAACAAAATTATTTTCATTATGAGTAATATTCATTACAGATGGAACAATATGACATGAAGATGAAGAAACAATAGACAAAGGGCATTTATGGCCTTCAACAGTACTATGAAAACTAGCACATTGACTTGAGGTTTTCAAAGAAGTGTTAGAGTAGCCTTTTTTCAGGTTGAGCAAAGCAAATAAAGTCCATCTTGTACTCTACCAATTTACAGAGGCCTCTTCATTGAAGGGCCCTGCAGTATACAAGAGGAATTAGAGACAGAAACAAGACATTTAAGATGAAGTGCTAAAGACTTGATGGAAATCAAGTTATATTTGAAGGATGGAATGAAAAAGACTTTATGCAATGTGATCTTTGATGTGAGGTTTACATTTCCAACTTCAGTTACCTTCACCTTGTATCCATTAGGCAAACTAACTAACAAAAGATATGGTAAGAGAATGATATCAGAAAGATGGTTCTTATTGTAGGTCATGTGATGTGTGGCCCCTGAGTCTAATATCCATAAGTCAGTCTTTGATTTGAAGCACCCATATGAAAGTTTGTCAAAATCAACAGATGAGTTACAAGTTATCATACCTGCAAAATTTGCAGCACCACTCATAAGCTGATCTTCAGCAGCTTCTCCTGTAGATCCCAACTGGAAATGTTGTAGCAAATTGATGAGTTGTCCATACTGATCCTTGGTAAGGTTGGGACCAGATTTGGAGGATTCAGTAGTGTTTCCTGTGTTAGATTCATTATCTATCCCAAAAACATTTGTTGCTATCCCCTTTTACCGTATATCCTATTGTTACCTTGTCCATTTCCAGTGGTACTAGCCTGAGGATAACCATGCAACTTGTAGCACCTCTCTTTAGTGTGACTTGGTTTCTTACAATGATCGCAGAAGGATCTTGGTTTGCCAGTGTAGTTATTGGTGGGAGAGAAATTAGTCTTGAACTACTGTTGTCTTCCACT